GACAAAATTTTAAATGCAAAATTAAAATGCTAGAAATTCTCCTATATCGATATTTGGTAATTAACACTATAGAAAAGTTAGTCGCCATGTGTCTATGGGTGAACACTGACATTGGATGAATGCCAAGAAGACATGTCAGAACCAGTGGCAGATATATTTCTAATAATGTATACTTCAAAACATTCTCTGTAAGTTCAGCAAGTGAAATGGCTTGTATTCCAAAGAAATCAACAATAAAGAACACACAAAGTACTGTATATACTTTAAAAAATATTTTATACTTAATTTAGTCAATTCCCACTGATGATCATTTGGAATGTTTTAATTTTAAAAAATTGAAAACAATGCTGAACATCCTTTCAGATCCCTTGCACTAATGGTACGATTTTTATAGGATAAACTCAAAATAATAACTGCTGGGGTAAAATAAAGGATGCTCTGACTAGGACTTCCAGTACTATGGTGAATAGAAGTGGTGAAAGAAGGGCCGTAGCTGGTTTGACTCAGTGGGTAGAACCGTTGGCCTTCGGACCTGAAGGGTCCCGGGTTCAATTCCCGTCAAGGACATGTACGTTAGTTGCAGGCTCTTCCCCAGCCTAGGCCCTGGTCAGGGTGCATGCAGGAGGCAACCAATCGATGCATTTCTCTCACATCAATATTTCTCTCTTCCACTCTCTCTAAAAACCAATGGAAAAATATCCTTGAGTGAGGATAAAAAAAAAAAAAAAGAAGTGGTGAGAGGGCATCCTTGGCTTGCTCCTCATCCTAGAGGAAAATCTTTTAGTCTTCATCATTGTGATATTAGTTGTGGGCTTTCACATATAGCCTTTATTATGCTGACGTAGTTTCCTTCTACTCCTATTGAGTATTTTATTGAGTTTATTGAGTATTTTTTATCATGAAAGGGTGCTGAATTTTATCAAATATTTTTTTTTTTTTTGCATTGAGATGATCACGTTGGTTTTTGTCCTTTATTCTGTTAATTTGGTGTATTACATTGATTGATTTTTTTCATATCTTAAAACCATCCTTGCATTACAGAAATAAAACTCACTTGGTCATAGTGTAATCCTTTTAATGTGCTGTTGAATTTCATCTGCTAATATTTTGTTGAGGATTTTTGCATAAATGTTTACCAGGAATACTGGTCTACAGCCTAATAATATTCTTTTATAACTACTAATGTCAGACCCTGGGATAATCAGTGCTCACCTGCATTGAGTCTGTTTTGATGGACTGCATCTAGAAACAACCTCATTTCCTCTGCATCCTTACTTGGTACTTTGTCAATAGACAAGAAGCTGTTATCCTGTAGCGTTAACATGAGGCGGCTTTGTTTTGCTCCACTGGGTCGAAGCACCACATTTTTAATGTTATGACTTAGCTGATTAACACAAAAGGAAAATGATCTTATCATTAAAAACATGATAATGAAGTATATAAGTTGTATAATGAATACTAAACTTTATACTTTCTAAGTTACATTTCTTACTCTTCCCCACATTAGGTTTTTTCCCCCCAACCAAAAATAGTTCCCACTTCTTGACACATTTAAATCAAAGATTTCACTTTTAGAAGAGGCAAACACATAGTATTAAATTTTATTTTACATTGTAATCCTAGCAGTCTTGTTTTTATGGCAGGAAATTGCATATTTTCAGGTATAGTTACAAAGTTATAAAAACTAGTGAGTTGGAAGGGGATCTTAATATAAGGTGACAGAAGATATTTGACAGTGGGCAAACTGTGCAATAAACAGATCTTTTAACATAGAAACCCACACATAAAACCTGTATGTTCATGTTGACCAATGTGACCCTAATCAATGTAATAAAACTTTAAAAATAAATTAATTTTTTACAAAACAGCACAACAAAAAAAACTGAGGGAGTTAATTTTCAGAGTTTGGATGGTTTTTATACCATCATCGATTTAGAAAACCCCACAGTGCAGCAGTCGCCAACCTTCGGACCTCGCAGAGCACTGGTTGGTGACCACTGCTCCAAAGGTCTCCTTAAACCAGCGGCTGCTAACCTTTCGGACCTCACGGACCAGGACCACCAGTTGGCAACTGCTGCCATAGTGGATTAGAGGCTTTCTTTTTCTTTTCAACAAAAGCTTATAAAATACCTGGCAAACGGTGTAAATAGCTGTAATGTAAATAGGACATATTAATTCAAATTATAATCCTCAAAAGAATTCCACTCTCACACATTGAAACAAAACATTACCAGTATAAGAACATCTTTTTTTTCTTTTTTAATTGTTTAAGCAGGCTCATTTAACATTTATTCAATCACAAAGAACATGAGCACCCTAGAACTATCTTAGCTTACTTCTCCCACTCCCTAGAACTGGTTCAGTAACTTGTCTTATACTCTTCCAGACTCTGGACATGTGCTTTCAAGTGATAACTTTTCTATTCTCTTGGCTGAAATTTTTCCTAGAATTAATGTATTTTGTAGTTTATTACCTAAATAATTCCTGCCAATCAGGCAAACTTATTCTTTAACATTCTCCCTCAGCAGGCGTATACAAAAGTTTCTAAAGCTATCTTTTCATGAAGACATACTCTCTTAACAGCATAAAAAAGAAGTAATAAAATTTCATTTCTTGATTAGGAAAAATTGACCTTTACCAATATTCAGATAAGAATGAAAAAAATAATTTTACCAGTCAGACTTAATTTATATTTAAATTTTAAGTGATAAATAGGTCTTAAGTTCCATGTCCTTGAGTAGAAATTTTTTCACAAAACACAATAACTAGTTTTAGATGCTTTAACTCCGAAGTATAAATGAACACTTTAATATCAATAGAAAAGTAGATAACATCAATCAATATACCTCTTTTAAAAAATGAAAGTTAAGCCTTGGCCGGGTAGCTCAGTTAGTTAGTATCGTCCAGATACACCAAGGTTGCGGGTTTGATCCACAAACAAGGCACATACAGGAACCAACCAATAAATGCATAAATAAATGGAACAGCACACTGTTCTCTCTCTCCCCGTCCTCTCTCTCTTTAAAAATCAATAAAACAATAAAAAATTGTCTTTCTCTGTTTAACTTATTTTACTTAGCACAATACCCTTTAGGTCCCATCCATATAGTTGCAAATAGGAAGATTTCATTCTTTTTAATGGCTGAGTAATATTCCATTGTATATATATAAATATACACCACATATCTTTTTTTTAATACCACATATCTTTGAAATATTTTTACAGCTGCGAATGCATTTGATGCTAAGTTCGAGAGGAATAGTGTATTATTCAGCTCTATATTCTTAGCCCTTACTACAGTACCCACCACAGCAATTTGTAGGTGGTTAATGAATGCTGAATGCAACCTGATGTAAAACTGAGATGAGGGTGGAAACACATGTAGAATCATATGCTCCTGAAGATCTATGTTTCCTTTAAATATTTAGTGCTAATTTGGGCTGAGGACTGAAAAATCAAATCTCTATTTGGAAAACAATCTTTCATTGAAATGGGCACTTTGGTATACATATATGGCAGAAATTACTATTGTTTCTATTACCCATGTCACCATGTCTTTCTTCTAATCTATTTAAGAATATCTTTCCAGCTAAAAGCTCTTCTTAAATTTATCTGGTAGGTCTTCCAATGCTCACCAGTAGATCCCCACAAAAACTATGTATATCTTTGATACACAAAATCATAAGCAATTTATTTTCGTAGTTGAAAAGCAAAGATAAATGGCAATTTTACCTTAGCTCAGGTTCTCAAGCATAAAGTTTTATAAATTGTTCTTCTATAGGGTACTTTACATTTAGAATATATTTTATATAATTTAGTTAACAAATAGAACTTTAAAGTACAGGAAAATATAAGTAAAACATTTTTTTCTTAATTTCAACTCATCAAAATGAGCAGTTCTTCACTGCGCAAGATAAACAGCATAGAAGTGAAAACGAAGTTAATTATTTTGTGCAGTGATAAAATAATGAGACCCTTTAAGTGTGCAATTAGCCCTGGCTGGTGTGGCTCAGTTGGTTGAGTGTTATCCCATGCACCAAAGATCACCAGTTTGATTCTCAGTAATTAGGGTACATGCCTAGGTTGCAGGCTTGATCCCCCCAGGTAGGAGGCATGCAGGAGGCAGCTGATAGATGATCCATGTTTCTCTCTCACATCAATGTTTCTCTCTCTCTCTTTCTTCCCCTCCCCCTCTCTCTAAAATTAATAAAAACATAGTATTTTTTTAAAGTTTGCTATTAGAAGAAAATAGCTGTAAGGACGGATGACCTTGAATTATCATCCTTGAACAGTGCATACACCATTCTGGCAGGATTATTTTGAAAGTAAACATTAAGATAACACTAATCAATCCCATTAAAAGCTAATACTAAATAATGAATCTATCATATATATTAAGAAAAAAAAAAGAATAAAGTTATTCTAATGTGGTTTTTAAAATAGCTTCGATAGTTTCATCTTCCACTAGCTTTCTTCTCAATAATGGTGACTACTTCCTGCTCTTTATTATATATTATCTATAATGCTGCTGAATAATACTATATAATAAAGGATATAATATAATATGCAAATTAACCCTCATGCCCTCACAAGATGGCTGCCTACAACCAGGCTGACAGGGGGGTTAGTGAGGGACGACCAAACGACTGAACAAGCAGGCTGCATGGGGCGACCAGGCCAGCAGGGGGATTAGTGAGGGACGACCAAACGACTGAATAGCAGGCTGCATGGGGCGACCAGGCCAGCGGGGGGGCTGTGAGGGGTGACCAGGCAGGCAGCGGGGGCAGTAAGAGGTGACTAGGCCAGTAGGGGTGGCGGTGGGATTGTGAGAGGGATGTCCAACTGCCGGTTTAGGCCCGATCCTTGAGATCGGGCCTAAACCGGCAGTTGGACATTCCCTGAGGGGTCCCGGATTGGAGAGGGTGCAGGCTGGGCTGAGGGGACCCTCCCCATGCACGAATTTCGTGCACCAGGTCTCTAGTTTATAAAATAAGAACATAACAGTACCAGTGTCCTGGAAATAAAAAACAAGAAATATTAATCTAGTAGAAGGGCTACCACGATTCTCAATATGGCACAGAACAGCTATTCACTAAGGATGTGATGGAAGATCTATTCCAAATCAAAAGTTGGTAATACCTGAAATATCCTTGGAATTCCTCCAGTATTGTAGTGAACCACTAGGCTGACTTTATTATCCTTTTCCACAATTTCAAAGGATCCTTCTTTCCATTTTGTAATCCCAGTTTGCATACTTCGAATTCTGATAGGACCATGTATCTTCAGAGGAGACATACTTTCTTTAAAAATAAATTGCTTCTAGCAAAATTATAAAACAAAAATATAACTTCACCCAACAGATTCTAAGAAAGAAAAATAAAATTAAAAGTTACAATTTACTAGTGATTAAAATAAGTGTATGAAAGAGAACAGTTAGTGAACCATCTTATATGTCTTTTTCTCCATTTCCATAAACCACATTTTATTAAGCATCCTTAAAGGCCTTGATTAGCTGGATGGCACAGATAAGAAAAACAACTAAAGCAGTCACTCATGTTAAGTGTCTGAATCTAACCAATATTTAGTTCTTCTATACACATTCTTTTCTTTGCCATGTGTCTTGCACCTGTGTCTATTAGTGCCTAAATTTTGCATTTTGCACCATTAAAAGTCAAAGTGCTGCCTCTAAAGGCGTGCCAATCAATAATACTAAAAATTCCATTCTCAATGTGACCAATTTTTACATTCCTTCATGAATAATAATGCATCTTGAACTTCAAATATACGTAAAAAAATATTTTCAGTCAACTGACTTCATTTCTTAGAATGGAGCTCCTTCCAAAATATCAAATCATATCACCAAGTAGTCTAAGCATATCCACGTTTAGAAGACATTAAATGAATACAAACTATAAGAAAAATCAAATTAGTTTAACCTCCAGAATTATTTAAGAAAACCATTTATTTTCTAGGGAAAACAAACTAAAATATAATCTCTCTTCCTAAGAACCACTTATCATTTATATTTAATATTATCATCCCAGAAAGACTATCAATTTTATCCATGACAAATATTCAAATTTCCCAAATAAACTTCTAATAACTTAAAAATGGCTTACAATAGAACTTCTAAAACTCTTCAAATTAGTTTACCAAATGTCAATACATAAATACAATTCTAGTAATAGCACAGAATGCTATCAAATAGCATGTGTATTATACAATTCTAAGTCCATATACCTTCCAGGTATCTTTACAATGAATTTCAGATCAAATTACATCACACACAATGTTAAAACAAATTTTATTTATACACTTCAAATCTTTAAAAACACTGCTCTAATACAGATTCTTGCTTACAATTTAATAAATTTTAAAAAATTCATTAAATTTTGCATCTGCAAAAACAGCTAACCTAGAAAAGCTTTAATAAAGTAGTCATCAAAACAGCCTAGGTCTAGATATCAGGAACCAGCTCTGATATAATTTATAACTTATCTTTTCTAACCATTTGTTTTTTCAAGTGTAAAATAGATAGAGCAAATGTTATAGTGTTGCAGTTAAACAACACACATTAGGCATTAAATAGACCCCAGCTATTAATATGAAATTAGTGTCCACTTTCTGAATTTATTCCTGGTCTATAATACCCTTCTCCAAAGATACCAGATAAATAAGTTAATAGGAATTACCAATCCAACTGCCTATAAGGCCTGGCAAGTCACATAGATAACTTAGGCAGGCAAAATATGAAAACCACTAATCACCCCACCCAGAGTGGTTGAGTTGGTTGAGCACTGTTCAGTGTCCTGAAAATGCAGGTGAGGTTCTTGGTCAGGGAGCACACCTGAGTTTCAGGTTTGACCCTCAGGGAGCGTAAGGAAGACAATCAATTGATATTCCTCACTCACACTGATCTGTCTCTAACTTCCTTTCTCTACCTATGTCCTCAGGTGAGGATTAAACAAAAGAAAACTGCTATTCAAATTTAGTCAATTTTATCATGTGAAAATAAGTGAACCTAGCATTGCCAGATCATCTAATTTTTCAAGAAAATAACATCCCAATTTTCATGTAAACCCGCCCGTTTTTAATTGTGGTCAGTGAATTCAAAGTTATTTTTAAAAGCTACAAATCAGCCCTAGCAGGTTTGGCTCAGTGGACAGAGCATCAGCCTGTGGACTGAAGGGTCCCAGGTTGGATTCCGGTCAAGGACACATGCCTGGGTTGCGGGCTCAGTCTCCAGTAGGGGGCGTGCAGGAGGTAGCCAATCAATGATTCTCTCTCATCACTGATGTTTCTCTCTCTCTCTTCCTCTCCCTTTCTCTCTTAAATCAATAAAAAATATTAAAAATAAACAAATAAATAAAAGCTACAAATCAAACAAAACCCACCTGTAGGCAGGATACAGCCTAGGGACCACTAGTTTGAGGTCTCTAGATAGTATACATCAAATAAGTGGGAATGAAATTTAAAGAGACGTGAAAACACTTTGAATAGTTAAAAGGTGTTGCGCCAGGGGAGGGGAGGGGAAGGGCAGAAAAAAAAAAAAAGGTGTTGCGCATTGTAAGTCCTTTATTGTTATTCACTCATCTCATCAAATTTTTTTTAAAATATATGATTTTTTACAGAGAGAAAGGGAGAGGGATAGAGATTTAGAAACTTCGATGAGAGAGAAACTTTGATTAGCTGCTCCTGCACACTCCCTACTGGGTATGTGCCTGCAACCAAGGTACATGCCCTTGACCAGAATCGCACATGGGACCCTTGAGTCTGCAGGCCGACGCTCTATCCACTGAGCCAAATCGGTTAGGCCTCATCAATTTTTTTGGGTTCCTATTGTGGTCAGATTTAGATAGTATAATTGGCTGGGTATATGAATCCATCAAAGTAATCGAGTCCACTACTGTTCTTATCCAGTCTGTTAATAAGACAGTTTGCTCAACCAGTAATTACAGAATTTTGGGCCAGCAATGTGTGTTTGTAATACTTTTCTTTGGCAAATAATAATTTGGTACTTCATTGTTTGGATATGTCCTTTGAGATTTTTTTCCTACTCTGTCCTTTAGCACTGCCAATAATATGTGGCCCCCTCCTAACCCAGATGCCTATGCCAGAAACATGGGAGTTATCTTTGACTTTTCTCTTAATGATTGATATTGGATTGGGGATGGAAGGTCAAGGTAGAGTACTGTCAATTCTACCTCCATACACCTTCCAGACATTTCTATAATGAGCTGCAGATAAAATCTCATCATTTTCCTCCTTAATATTATCCAATGACTCCCAATTGCCCTCATAATAAAATCTAGACTCATTAATATGACATAAACCCCCTTCATGATCCAGGACCTCCTTACCTCTCTATTCCCAACAAGCTCTCCAAATCCAGCCATTTGAACTACTTATAATTTCCCTAAAAAAGCCAGATACTTTCATGCCATGTGTACATTGTAGTCAATGTTTATAGGATTTTTATGTACTTTCCCCATCCTCCATAATTTCTTCTCCTGTCTATAAAATCAAGGCTCAACTTAGATATTACCTTCTTTAAGAAGCTTTTCCTAGCTACCTTTTACTTTACTCTCACTCCATATCCACACTGACATTGTTTAAGGTTTCTCTATTCTCCTATTATACTCTGTGCTCACTGTTAGTAGAGCATTTATCACATTATATAAACTGTTTACTTTATATAAACTTTTTACCTCTTTGTCTCTACCTAGACTCTGTTATTTAAAGACAGGGAATATGTCCTTTAATCTTTACATCTCCATTAGAACAGTGTCTGACATACATGAAACAACAATCTATATATATATATATATATAAAAGGCTAATATGCAAATGTCCTCACGGGAGTTCAACCAGGAAACCGAGAGTTCTATTGCTCGCTATGATGTACGCTGACCACCAGGCAATGGCGTGGAACAAAGGAAGGCCCTGGCCAGCAGCTGGAATGCCCAGAAGAGCCCTGATCGCCAGCCAGGCCTAGGGACCCTACTTGTGCACAAATTTCATGCAACAGGCCTCTAGCTTAAGAATAAATAACAACAAAATAATGAACAAATCAGTATTATCAATTTATTGTTAAAATATACAACAGTAGCCCTAACCGGTTTGGCTCAGTGGATAGAGCATCGGCCTGCGGACTGAAGGGTCCCAGGTTCGATTCGGTCAAGGGCATGTACCTTGGTTGTGGGCACATCCCCGGTGGGGGGTGTGCAGGAGGCAGCGGATCGATGTTTCTCTCTCATCGATGTTTCTAACTCTGTATCCCTCTCCCTTTCTCTCTGTAAAAAATCAATAAAATATATTTAAATATATATATATATATACAATAGTAGATACTGGAACCATAAATTCCTTTTATGTGACCAATATAGGGTTATATTTACTAAGTTCTTTAGAAGAGTATCACTATGACCTTTATTACATATGACTTATCTTTTGAACACTTAAGCTTTTTCTATGTGGACCTGAACTTTTACACTAAATGTACAGCTGTTCTCATATCTTAAATTCAATGAGATAAAAGTCACTTATGAAGAACAAGAATTAATATGCAGTTACAGAATGCATTAAAACAAAAACATTAATAAACTTGCCTAAACTGGGATTCATTTTATTCACGGCTCAATAAAGAAACTTCATTTTAAGAGTATGTCAGATTATTTCACTTTAAAAAAATGTCATTATGGGTCATGGTGCCAAATTAAAATGAATTAAAATAAAACCACATTATCTTAGTGTTTTCCTTACAGACCAAAAGTAAATAAAGGTTATTAACCTTGAATTCCTCCAACAAAAACTTGTTTTTAAAAATTGCATTTAACAAAAATTTGAGATGAAGATTTCAATGTTCACTAAAGTTAATAAAAAATAAAAACTTAATTGTTACTTCTCTTTCTCTATATATAATTTTCAAATATTTGATGCAGTTTTGATTACACATATAAAATTTTACTTCAGATATTTAATATTTTCTTAACCTTTTCTACTAGCAACCTCTCTTTCTTTGAAAGAAGAAACCCTGAAAAGTGCAGGACATAAAACTGGCAGAACCAATAAAATAAAACTTCTAATGCCTCAATTCAGTCCATCACCTGCTCTTGTACTAAATGCATTAACTATATCTATTTTTGTATAATCATCATATTTTCAGGGTTTACCTTACTTAAAGAGAAAACAACTTTCTTTTTCAGTATTCAGCATAATTCAGTAACTGTTAAACTTTCTATGAACCTAGAACCAAGATAAGATTTCTCTGAATTCTGTAATGCTAATTCACTACCAAAGTGATATTAGGAAGACGAAATATAATAAAAATTCATTCTTTAAGTACACCATTCAGATTCTCCTTTCCCTAAATTTCTTCACAATTATTAAAACTACCATTCAGCCTTGAGCATTCTATGAAAGCTCAATAACATTGCCAAAAATGTTTTTATACCCTGGACAGATATTTAAATACTCCTATTTTAGCCCCGGCTGGTATTGCTCAGTGGTCAGAGTGTCAGCCCCTGCACAGAGGGTCATGGTTCCATTCCCAGTCAAGGGCACATATCTAAGTTGCAGGTTTAATCCCCGACTTCATGCGGGCAGTGTGTAGGAGGCAACCAATCAATGTGTCTCTCTGCACATCAATATTTCTCTCTCCCTCCCTCCTGCCCTCCCTCCCTTCCTCCGTTCCTTCCACTCACTCTAAAAAGCAATGGGAAAAATATCCTTGGGTGAGGATTAACAAAAAATAAGAACCTACAGCTTAAAAATAAATAATTAAATAAATGTTCTTATTTTAGGTATTGCTTTGAAAATATCCTTATCTAGAAGGGCATTCTGTGGTTAAAAAAATACACACACACACAAAAAACATGCGAAAGCATGAAAGCTGTTACTAAAAACAGAAGAAAGAAAATGGTCAATTCTTGTCACTATGCATACTCTTGGAAACATATCTAAAATAAAAACATTACTTACTTTTCAGTGACTTTTACTGAAAAACCCTATGTAATAACGATTCACCTTTATTCTGATGCTTGTGCCAAAGGCAATGCAATCTTCTTGGGGAACTACTCATATTCTGCAGCTATCCCAGTTCTTCGGAAGCCATCAACTCAGCTACAGGAAATATAAGTGTGCCTTTTAAAAATAATCCAATTCACAAAATTAAAATGATTGTTAAGTAATCATTTATACAACAAAGATTAACCTTTTCATTATTTAAAAACTACAAATTTAACCTTATTGAAAAAATTTAAAACACAATGCCCAGGATACACACACACACACACACACACACACACACACCAGAACTTTAGGGATCTGTGTGCAAACTGAGGGACTCCAGGAGGAGCTGTACCTTGATCCATTTGTATCTTGGTTTATCCCTGCTACATTTTGAAACTATGAAGACAGTGAAAAAGAATACATCCTTTGTTGACTTTATAAACATTGTCACATAAGGATGTTTTATGTCTTAAAACACCACTTCCACCAGGTGCTGTTACAAATTTAAAAAAACTGATAAACTTAGTTTTTACTTTTTTCAAAACTAGCTTTACAGGTTTCTTTCTCGAATTGAAGCATCTTCTAAATCTCTCATTGCCTTTTGAAAACTAAAACAACTTTAAACTGATTTGTTCACTTCTAAAAAAATCATTTATTGAGCTACTCTAATTTGATACACTGTGGTAGGGATACATATGTGAAAATTATACAGTCCATGCCCTCAGAAGCCTTCCCTATACTTGTCCTCCCACCATCATTGAGGCAAAAAATCTTAGTATCAGCTTTAACCTCATTCTCATTTATCAAAAACCCCATCTTTTTGTAACTACTACCTTAATTCAGAAACACATCACTTTGCTACCACTCCAATCTAATATTTATTACACAACATTTATTAAGCACAGTGCTAGGCACCATACCTGCATTTATTTTCACAATAACCCTAAAGGACAGTTATTAATATCTATTTATAGATAAGGAAACTAAAGCTAAGAGAGATCAAGTAATTTATTCATGATTGATTATAGTCAGTAAGTGACAAAAATAAGTCTAAAATCAGAACCTATGTTTTTAACCACTACTATAATGCATCCTCCTCAATGAAAGTGATTCCAGCAATGAATCCTTTACCCTTTCTAAAAAACTACTTTTATTATCTCCTACTAAAGAAAGTACAATATGCACTAATTGTCTTAACTTTCTCCCTGAAGGAGGGGGAGAGAGGAAGGAGAACCTGTCCTATCTTCTTTTGTACTCCTGCAAAATAACAGGCACTTTGTAAGTGCTAAATACTTGACATTGATGCCAATTCCCTCCCAAACATTTTTAAATTCTGTGTTAAGAATACTTAACACACACACAAAGAATACCTAACACAAGATCTGCTCTCTTACCACATTTTTAACTGTACAATACAGTACTGTTAACTATAGGTACAATGTTCCACAGCATATCTCTAGAACTTACTCAACTTGATTAAATGAAACTTCCTCCTAAACGTTTTTAACAGCTCATCACTCACTACCTATAAAATAAATCCAAATGCCTCTTGGTTTGACATTCATACATTTCCTATGTTTTATTTTCTACTTCTCAACAAAAAATGTTGTTCTATATACACACAAATTACTGAATTTTAATACTTGCTTTCACATCCACCACCACCAACTTAAATATGACATTTTCCTTTATCTGTTTATGAAAACATCATACTCACTGGTCTCATAGTTTAACCTGTTGTTAAGATATATAAACCACTATTCTGATTTTAAGGGCTTTCTTTCTTAAAAAGATCCATAAAACAAATGCACAGAGATAAAATTAGTGTTATGGCTGAAAGAGAGAAGTTGACCTAGATAAACTTTATCTCCACTGAAAGTGTCTAAAATCTGAATGGTTTTATGACATAAGAATGTAAAATCATCCAAAGCCATGGAAAACCTGTTGTTTTTTTCTTTTGTGTTCTTTGTTTGCAGAGTGAATATTCAAGTGACAAAAATATCAGTAAGCTGGTGCTTCCAAAAGACATGATGGTTCTTACAGCAAGCTCCAGTTTATTTATTCACTTAACAAATTTTTGAGAAAGAGACATAAAATAATTACTAGCTTATATTCAGACTTTAAATAATCACACAAATAAAGATATAATTAGAAGTTCTGAAAAATGATATAAAATGCAGGGCTTGATGAGAGATTATAATACGGTACCTGACTTAAGACTTGGGAGTCAGGGGTTAGAAAGTACCACTTAAGCTGAAAACTGAAGCATGAGTTAAGTGAAGGATGGTCATGCTGGGTCAATCCAGGCAAACAGAACAAAATGTGTAAAAGCCCTGCGATAGAAAATAATTTGTTGTGACTGAAGAAATGAAAAGCAGTGTGACTGGAGTTCAGAGAGGGAAGGGAGGATGTGCAAGATGAAGCTAGTAAAGCAGGAAAGAATCAGATTATGAAGAATCTTGTAGACCACTGTAAGGATTTTGAATTTTACCCTAAATGTAATAAACACTTAGTGATGGGCAATCCACTGAAGAGTTTTAAGCGGAGAAATGACATGTTACTGCTGAATGGACAAGTGATATGCTTTGTTTTGGTTTTGAAAGGAGAGTGAAAGCAGCAAGAATGAAAGAAAACAGGGTAACCAGACAGGAAAGTATTGAGTGATTCAACTTATAACAACCCTTACAATAACAATTAATGTTTACTGGCTATTGACGGAAGGCCATGTGCATGCTATGGTTACTGCGTTTAATCCTCATAACAATCCAATAAGGTGATGTTTATTCCCATTTTACAGATGAGAAAACAGGGTATTAGTGACATTAAGTCCAGGTGAATGAGGGTTGTGGCTTCAACTAGAAAAGTGATACTGAAGATGTACAGAAATAGATTCAGTTATTAAATGCCAAGAATCCCTCAGTGCTCCATCCTAGGCCCCTTTCTTTTCTAGCACAGTTCGCTCCTTAGGCAATTCCATCCACATCCATGGCTTTACCATCATGGTGGCAGATGACATATATACACTTACTTGTATGTCCAGCCCAGAACTCTCCTCTGAGCACCAACCCAATATATACAACTGTCTACTTGACCTCCTCCCTTAGATATCTCCAGGTAGATACTTTTCAGATACTGCCACCCCTCAAAAAGGGCCTATCCCTAGGCAGAGCCAAATTTTTGAAAGAACTACCACAAAACCAGTACAGGCCAACTTTCCGAAACACAGGATTTTGTCACCGATTGTCATTTCCTTTCCTGGACCATGCCCTAAAATATGTAAACTTGACAACGTGATCTGATGTCTAGAGCTGGGGAGCAACCAAATGCATGACAAAAATACAATCCATGCCTTTGGTTAGAGATGATTAGGAGAGGAAGGTGAAGAATTGTCAAGAGTGAAAGAGTACCCTGTCCAAGGCCTGACGGATGTGCGGCTACCGCAACCTAAGTTCCCTTTAGAGACAGCAGGCCTCGTTAAGGGGCGAGTGGCGGACGGCGACAGCCCCCAGCGAAACGGGGCAGGTTCGGGCTGCGGAGGAAGCGAGTGACAGTTAGGACCAGGTCAAAGAAGGAAAGCTTAGGGATAGACCCTAGTGGAGTACGTGTGAGGCCAGGGGAGCTGCGAGGGGCTGGGGGCAGGCTGAGCAGCAGCAGGGCGAACTCCAGAAGAGTGAACGCCGAGTGGGCGGACCGCACGGGGCAAGGGGGATCTCGGAAAACGGCTCAGTGGAGAAGCTCGCTGGGCCCGTCTTACCTGTGCCTGTGAGTCCGGGGCTCGCACCGAGTCCGCGCGGAGGGGGAAGAATGGAGGTTAAGGAAGGAAGGGACGCCGAACCCAAACGGAGGTATACAGCTCGCTCCCCCAAGTCAGGGAGAGTGGCTGATGGCGGGAACTGTGACCACACGCAAACACGCAACGCACGCACGCACACTCGACGCGACCGGACAGGGCGCGTGCGCGCAAGCCTGAAAACACCGCCCCTCTACGCCCTCGTTCCGCCCCAGCACCGAGCGGAGTCCGCGGAGGTAGCTCCGCCCCATGGTAGCACGCATGCGCATTTTCACTTCACTGGCTTTCGACTTCCCCTCGTTTCGTCTTAGTCGGCCTGGTGGGGCATGCGCTCTACTTGTCCTCCCGGGACTTTTTCCCGCCCTTCACTGGCCTCCGGAGTAGGGTGGGAGTTCACGCCCCTCTCTCGGGGTACCTCCCAGGGGGTGCGGGGACAAGTAGGTGGCAGATGTCCTTAAGGTCCTGAATCTTAAGAGGCAAAGGACATACTTTGCTGAGAGTTAGGAGGTGGGAATAAGTTGTTCAGAAGGGGTCAGGGGTGAAAGGTCATAGGGCTGCGAAGGGGCGGAGCGAGCCAAAGACGGATGGCGGCCGCGGCGGTTCATCATCTTTGGCGGCTTCAGTGCTGAAGTGGGGACGTGGGTCGGGAGCGTTCGGCGGTGGGCGTAGAGCGGCTGCCACTCCCAACATGCACAGTCTGGCGACGGCTGCGGTAAGTGACTGGGCCGCCCGGCCTAGGCCCAGAACCTCTCTCTCTAGCCCTGCGTTTCGGCCTCCTCCTAGGTCCCTGTGTCGAGCCCGGAGTCCAGCTCCTACTGCCCTCTCCCCCTGAGGCCCCGGCCCCCCTCCTCGCCGCGCCTTGGCCGTGGTGGAGCCCGCCCTCACTTTGCTCGGCGGCCGGCTCTCGTGACCTCTTGCGTGACGTTTCGCGTTCTTCTCCGGCCTCGGGGCCTGGTCCCGCGCCCCGAGCGCCGGTCTCGCGGCCGGGACCGGCCATTCATTGCGCTGACCGACAGTTTGGGGTGCCGGTTGCGTGCTGGGCGCCGGTGGGGATGAGGAGAATTCCATGAGCAACCTGACAGGGCCAGGGGCCCTCGGGACTCCCTGCCTAGGCACATCGCAGCGGGAAGGAAAGGGCTTCTGACCCAAACAACATGCTTTACCGAAGCAACGCTCAGACCCAGGCTCATGTGTGACTTACGGTCCTGGGCGCTTAAAACCTTTTCCCACACATCTCATTTTATCAGTGCGTTTTTTGACAAAAACGGGGCCTGCAATTCACCTGTCTGAAGTAATCCTTTGGCTTCCGATTGCAGTAAGATAAAATCCAGACTCCTTGCCATGACATACAAAGCCCTCTCTTGTCTTTACAACCACGTTTGCAGTCTCCTTTTATGTCACTTGCTCGGTAGGCTCCACTGGCCGCCGTTGCATCCCTTCTACCCTCCCTTCCAGTGCGCTTTTCCAGCGAAGGGGCGCTCGTCCTACTCCCATCCCTTATGTACACACACACACACCATGTGGGCTAACGTGGCTCGTCTTCCCTCAGGTCTCTGCCTAAACCTCCCTAGAATTGGCTTTCCCTTACCATTCTTTTTAAAGTAGTTCTGTAATCCTCGACTTTATTAAAGTACCTTTACAGCATGGATTCCACTTTGTAATTTTTGTATTCATTCCCTTGTTTTGTCGGTCTCCCTCTTGAGGACAGAGACAGGTGTAGTGTGGGCCCTGTGTACATGGTTACCCTTGTTCCTGGCATAAAGTAAGGGCTCAGATACTTTGCTGAATGAGGGAGGTGGCTGCTGAGAGCGCTGGGAACACAGGACCATATGATCTGAGCACGCTCTTCTAAATGCCCATCCCACGTTTTCTGTTTCACCAAGGTGAAGTGATTTAGGAGAGGGTAGCATGGAAACTGCATTATTCGGCAAAATGACAAGTACCAAATAGAGAACCAAAAAAAATCACCTTAACTTTAAATATAAAAAGTGAGCTTAAGTGTGATTGGGCTGTAGAAAACTGTCATTTCCAGAGCCAGGGGCATCTCTGCCTCCAGACACCATGTGTCTAAGTGTTTGTAACTATTCAAAGTGGAGAGGTACCTTTTATATGTCTCAGTTGGTATTTGCAGTTTCCCAATTTTTTTCTTCTCCCAAATTGCATGTATAATTTAGAAGAAGCAAGTCAAGATGAGGTTGCTGCTGGTAGGGGAGGGGCAAGTTAAATACGGGATTCTAATAAGGTTGGCTTGTCTGTCCATCTCTCAAAATCTGATTGTGTCTCCTCCACACTTTGATACCAAGCTGCTCTTTTCCCTGTGCCTCCCCAAACTCTATACCTATTCACTTTTATTTTCATTTGCTCCCTAATGCTTTTGAACAGCCATTAAAGCTGTGTTTCATTACTTAAAATAAGTGCTGAATTAATGGTTTTCCAATTAAATTTACAATACCTTGCATTTTTTTAAAATTTGAACTTTTAGGTACAGTTTCACCTGTTATGCTGTTTAGACCACACAAAAATGCTGACAGGTTCCTTTGTACCACTCATTCACTAGAATATTTGGTTAGTCAGGAGGTGGAAGCATAGAAAAGTTGAGTGGCCTCTTTCCCAATTCTCTATCCCTTCCATTAGACAAGCTGCTTGTTATTCTGATTATTTTGCTCTGGGTAAAGGAACAGTAATGGTGTTTGTTACTAGCTACTGTAATACATGCAATAGTGCTTGCAATAATCTAAAGCCACTTGCGAAAATGCTTTGTGCCTAATGATGAAAATTTGCATTTGTGTTAATCTTTATCTCTTTTTAATATAACAGGTAAATCATACTCAGTTGGGGAGACATTACTATCAAAGGAGAATGTAGTCAAGTGAATGCAGAATGTCATTCACAAAAGAGAGAATTTGAGATAATTTTGGAAGTATCTTAAATTTTCACTCTTGAGTGGTATTTTATTACGCTAAAAATGTATGGTATAGTAGATTTGTCATTCTTTTTTTTTTTTTTAAGAATGAAATTGGAACCTTAACCTTTTTTTTAAATATATTGTTATTGATTTCAGAGAGAGAGAGAGAAACATCAATGATGAGAGAGAATCATTGATCAACTGCCTCCTGCATGCCCCCTACAGGAGATCGAGCCCACAACCCAGGCATGTGCCCTTGGTTGGAATCGAACCCGGAACTCTTCAGTCCTTAGGCCAATGCTCTATTCACTGAGCCAAACCAGCTAGGGCTAGACTTGTCATTCTTTACAGAATACATCCTAACATCTTCATTATTGCCACCATAGAAAGTAATTTCTGTCTCACATCCTATATATAAAAGACTAATATGAAAATTGACCGAATGGCTGAACGACTGGTTGCTATGATGTGCACTGACCACCAGGGGGCAGACGCTCAACGCGGGAGCTGCCCCCAGCCTGCAGGTCCCAGGCCAGCCAAGTCAGGTGCCAGCGGGGACCCCCCAGTCGCTCCGCAGATCAGCCCTGATCACCAGCCAGGCCCAAGGACCCTACCTGTGCGTAAATTTTGTGCACTGGGCCTCTAGTCTATTAAATAAGGACACACATACCACACAGGATTACCTAAAAGGTTAAATAAGAATAACAAAGTGCTCAGTGGTTGGCTGGGTTCACTCACTGGTGAAATGACTTGCTCCCAGATTCAACCTTGGGACTCAATTCCTGCCTCCACAGAGTAACAAATCACTTTGTTATGGACGTCACAGGTTGCTTTATTCTTTTTTATTTTTTTTTTAATATATATTTTATTGATTTTTTTTTTTTACAGAGAGGAAAGGAGAGAGATAGAGATAGAGAGTTAGAAACATCGATGAGAGAGAAACATCGATCAGCTGCCTCCTGCACATCTCCCACTGGGGAAGTGCGCGCAACCCAGGTACATGCCCTTGACCGGAATCGAACCTGGGACCTTTCAGTCCGCAGGCCGACGCTCTATCCACTGAGCCAAACCGGTTTCGGCTCACAGGTTGCTTTAGAATAGTAGAACTACAAACCTTCACATACTGTGGGTCTTCTGTAATGAATGTTATGCTAGTGATTTAAAACAGCCAAAGGTAAGCCTTTAGGAGATGCACTGGGTATGCATTTTTTAAATTTTCGTCACTGATATCCATTGGCAATTCTAACATCCATAAACCTTTTTTTTCCATCACTTTCCACCTAAGCGGCAACATCATTAGTTACTTTATATCTTTTTGTTGAAGCTGTGCTAGACTCCCAGACACTCTTCCCTTTTGTCAGATAAAAAGAACATTGTGCACTCTGAAGGATCTAATTCAAACACTATCTCCTCCCTCCCATGTCTCCTGTTGAAATTTAAGCAGATTGCCTAATTTCTCTTTGCTTATTCACTTCCATTTTTAAAAAGGTATTTTAAAGAACATTCTGGCCCTTATTTTATAAAGATAGGATAATTAAGCTAATTCATTATTTCCCTTTGGCATTATTTAAGAAGTGTAGGTTTTTTGAATGTCATCATTATGTAGACATCCAAAACCACACGTTGAGACATCTCCAGAATTGGGAAAATACCTGTTTCAGTCCAATTCCATTCTGTTACATATTCATTGGTAGGAAAACCAGCAGTTATTTTGGCCTTTAAACATAAAATTGTATTGATAGGTTTGTCTATTTTCTGTTTAAGAAAGCCATCAATGTCAATTCTTAATTTTAATCATAGGGGCTAAATCATATTTTTATTTATGGGTAAATGAGAGTCTTTTTATTTAGGTTCTAGATATGTTTTTCCTTTTCATATTAGGTGTTAAGATTTTCATAGATAGAAAATCAACATCAATAACCTGTGTTTGTGACACTTGGCATTAACCATTGATGACTCACTTTGGTAAATCTCTTGCCTGTGTTAAGATTTGTTGAAAGAAAGAAAATTATTTGAAATACTTTTTCCTTATACAAATCGTTAAACAGAAAAGAGGAGAGTGATTCCCTCGTAAATGTTGACAATACAAATATTTTTCACACATATATTAAAAGGAAAGAACCACGGACATTAAATGAGTATATAACTAAAGACACAGTTATATCCAATAGATTCTGTTTCTAATCTTAGAAGACATTGTTGAGGAAGATAATAGTCCAAATCAGACTCTCATGACTTTATGTTTCTAGATATG